GATTAAATTTCATACTATAACTGAGGGAAAACCCATTTTAGTGATTTGATTTGTGCTGTGAATTTTCTGCGATGTTCATCCACCACTATAATCATTTTCCTAATTACTTTTTTGTTGCCTCTTCTTATTATGGTTCTTCTAGTAATATTCTTCCCTAATTTTCTTTGTTTTCCAGATAGAAAACAACATTGTTAGATGCCCTAATCCCGAGTATGCAGAAAAGATGATAGCTGCGATTGATGCTGTCAGGACAAAAGGGAACTCTGTTGGTGGTGTTGTGACCTGCATTGTTCGAAATGCTCCACGTGTATGAACGCACTGTACCATGAGCTTAATCTGTGTGCCTCCTGTAGTCTGATTGCTTGAACTTCATTGATGATTATTGAAACTACTATACGCAGGGGCTTGGTACACCGGTTTTCGATAAACTTGAAGCAGAACTGGCAAAAGCTTGTATGTCATTACCAGCAACAAAGGGATTTGAGTTTGGAAGTGGCTTTGCAGGTATAGAAAGTTATATTTTGCTCTTCTTCTTTGACCAATCTAAAACACCCCCTCTGGAGCAGTATAAACCATACGCGATGAACCCGCAGGTACCTTTTTAACTGGTCTTGAACACAATGATGAGTTCTATACCGATGAAAATGGAAGAATACGTACCAGAACAAACCGATCCGGTGGAATTCAGGTTGGTTAAGTCTTGTATTTAATATGTCAATAAACTACTTTTCTCTTGAGAGAATTCCTAATATTGGTCAATTTGCATAGGGAGGGATCTCAAATGGTGAAATAATAAACATGAGAGTAGCCTTCAAGCCAACATCAACAATTGGAGTAAGTTTATGATAAAACTGATACAGTTTCCATATGAACATAACAAATGTCAGCGTGATATCATTGATATTTTCTTTCCAACGCGCAGAGGAAGCAGAATACGGTAACCAGAGACAAGGTAGAAACCGAAATGATTGCGCGTGGCCGTCATGATCCTTGTGTTGTTCCACGAGGTGATTATCTACTTCCAATCCAAACCATTGAATTAATTCACTTTACTACTTCAGCATTTTGACTGTGTGTTTGTTTGCAGCTGTGCCAATGGTGGAAGCAATGGTGGCTTTAGTTCTTGTGGATCAATTGATGGCGCAATACGCACAATGTCATTTGTTTCCAATAAATCCAGAGTTGCAGGAACCTCTCCAGATAGAGCAGCCGCAAAATGCTACTGCTTTGTAAGCAAAACTCTATAGAGTCCGAGAGAGTGAGGCTTTGCTTTTGTTGTGTGATTATTATGAATAAAAAATGTTAATTTTGTGCCCACCAGAAAAACAGAGAACATTATTTTTTGTAAGAGGATTTTGCTACTGCATCATTCAGCTAAATGTGATTTTACCACGGAACATAAACTATTTCTATATAATACTTTTGGTATGCCATTTCCATTTCGGTTAATAAACTTTATTCTATAGTAATAATTCAAAAACTTTTGTACAACATACATGTAAATGTACAGATATACGTTATTAGTTACAACATTACACAGTTTCCCTAATGAAAAGTCACTCGTGGGACGAAAACCGACATCATTTTTGAAATGTTTTACTTGGTTTTCTTGTTATCGTCTTTGCTCTGTTCAAGAACAACCGGAGCAGCCGGAATGCTGAACCACCACTCTTTAAGCCGCCGCATCAACCGTTCCGTGCTTGCTCTACGCGGTGGCGAGTATCTTGTGAACAGCTCAAGAAACACCACCAGAATCAGATTGTTCCAAGGCACTAATGCCATCATCGACGCAGCGATCACAATGGCAACTGCAAACTTCTCACTCGCCTGTCATTTTCAAACTTCAATTAACATTAAACCGTTTGCAAAAAAACCACGTTTTGGCGAACGCTAAAATGAGAGGAAGGGTTGAGAGAGAGAGAGACCTGTGGGAAAAGAGAGAGTAGCAAAGCTCGGAACTTGAGGAGAACAATGTTTGCGTCTTGGATTAACTGTTCGAGCTGTGAAATCGCGTTTTGGACTGCTAAAAGCTGTTCCATTGTGTTCATAGGAGGCGGCGCTATAACTTTCAGCTCGATCATTACTTTCTCTCTGTTGCTGAAATATCTCGTGAGAACCATGAAACCCGCTATAAAGAGAGATGCAATCGCAAAAACATAGCCAATCCACCCCCTAAACAAAAAACTGATTAAACCACAGAAAAAAACGAAAGATTTCAGAGAATTGTATAAAAGTATGTTACCTGTAAATTATGAAAGTTGAGAAGAGACAGAAAACAAAAGACTTCAATGGATCCTCCCAATAAGCTAACGACAAAAGCCAATTCCCGATTTCTATAACCGGAAGTAGCAGTTCCTGCAAAAACCAGAGTCTCTAAAATCTGTTGCATGAAATGCTAGAATTGTTGTGTTCTTTCTTTTACCTTCATCACTGCTACATTGGTGTCAATTCCATCAACTTTAACTCCATTAACCGTCTCTTGCGCAAGAACCACTTTCTCATAGTTCTTTCTTGATTGCTTAACTGCTTTCTCCAATGGATTCACATCTCCAACCATCACTTCACCTACCACAAGACTACTTCTACTCTTTGGACTTGTTGCTCCAAACACCAAACCCAATTGCGAAAGCATATCCGAGGCCGAGATCGAGTGCAATGTCCCTGTTAAAAGAAGTTCTCTCATCAACATAGAATTCTGTGCGACCAGCTAAATACAATTTGCATAATATGTTAGTAATGTTACCTTCTTTGGCTTTGTTTGTCCGGTCAACCACTCTAGAACTAGACATCTCTGCAAGCGTCTCTAGAATACGGTCTCCACCAGGAAGCTGATCACAGAGATTGAACGGGAGAAGATTCCCATACCGCACCGGGTTTGTTAAACCGATTTCTTGAATGGCTTGCACGCGTAAAATGCCGAGTACAGCTTTTGAGATAGCTTCATCTTTCGCCACACTCGTGTTGATCTTGTACTTCTTTATGTATCTGTGAACATATAACACTTCTAGGATTATCGCAAGCCAGTAATCTCTTCGTGTGTGGCCCTTGAGCTCGGGGAACTCCATTACTACTGGCTCTGGTCTACAGAGACAAAAAAAATATGTAACCGAATCAGTCAGATAAGAAGTGAATACAAAACAAAGCTTATTAATTGACGTAATAAAAATCATTCCCTACAGGGAAATAGACTTGTAAGAGACGGCCTTATCGAAAAGCCGAGTGCCCCAAGGACCGGTTAACTCGGGTTTAATGACTTGTTTCAGATCTTCAGATAGGCTATAACGCTTTGGTGTGTCGAACGAAACAACCTTTATAGCCTCAAAATATAGTGAATGATCAGTAAGAATCAAACGACCTGCATTTAACAATACTCAATTCAATCAACCGAACAGAGAGGAATTTACAAGATTTCCACTACTTGTTAGTACAGAGAAAAACATACCTGGCCATGTAGAGATTCCAATATGTTCAAGAACTGGTTGGGTAGTAACTGTCCCGTCGACCTCAAGAATCTTTTCTCCTTTTGATCGAACACCGGAAAGTAAAGATGACTCGGACTGGCTCTTCATCTTCTTGATTGCTCTAGAAAGTGATTCGGATTCAGATTTCACAAACTTTTTCTGAACAATGTTTCTAAAGATGAAAGCTTTTATTTACCTTTCAAGTCCATACAAATACTTGTCATAAACATAAAACTGAAGCCGAACACTGTTTGAGGCAGAAGTCAGCATACCAAACAAATTCTCACATATGATCACATCAGCAATTATAGGAACTGCTGGAGCAATCCGTGAGAAGGCTTCTAAACCAACAGTTGGATCTTCATCAACCTGCTTCCATGTTTGAAAATAAGAGGATCAAGTCTTGAATCAATAGACCACAGACACAGAAATCAAAAGTCCTTACTTACACTGAGTAATGACTGGCTAGCAGCAGAAGGAACCTCCCAAGCAACCATCATATCAAAAGTTAAACGTCGAAAGTTTTTATCGCTTAGATGACCTGTTACTCCAACAGAGAGTGCAAGTGCCCTGAAACAGCAGTACTCTAGAAAGTTTCTTGGAAACATTGAAGGCTGCTTAACAGATTCAGACGCCTCTTGTTTGAAACTATCTTGTAGCTCACTTACTGAAACACCAAGTATTCTGCATCAATTGTTTCACATTACTCTATAGAGTTATCTATCAAAACATGGAAGCTCACCAATTCAATTGTATGTAGTAAAAGGTAAATAAAGATGCTTACTTTGAACACCTGCGAATGACAACATTTGCTACTGGAGAAAGCTCAGGTATCCAGTTGACACCAGCAGATGGAGAATTCTCAATCTCGTCGATTTCTTCATCGAAAGAACTTTGCTTCCCAAGCAACCATTTAAGTGAACTATCTTTAACCAGACCTTCTAAAACATCCCTAGTTCTGCTCGACATAGTTAGATTTCTTCACCTGGTAAAATCATTACACATATTTAGGCAAAAATTTGACTCTCTAAACTGAAACTACAGAGACTTTATAAGAAGTTTCAACACAAAGATTACTCAGCTCAAATCAAGAGACGAAAATTAGTTAATCATATGTGAGTTTGACTAAATTTGTGAACATTTTTGTGATCAGATTCCAAAATTACAGAGGACTCAATGTTTTTCTCAACTTACCCACCTTCAAAATCAACTAACTTCACAACTATGAATTGTTCTCCTACAACACCATAAAAGCTTCGTTTTCTCCAATTATCAAGATTCTGCCGTGAATTGGGGTTTATCGAAAAGTGACAAACAAGAGAAGCGGAGAAAGTGAGACGGTGGTAATAAGGATCTCTCCGGTGTCGGCTTTGTTTTGTCTATTCGAGGAAAAATGATAAGATACGATCAGTAACACGTGAGCAAAACGTGGCTTTGTTACGTTTACGCCACGTCAGCTACATTGAACGGCTCAGATTTGATCAATCGACTTTCACTTACTTATAATCCTATCCCTACACGTGTCACATTAACACTTGGTGACCGTTAGATTATCCTTTATAAAGTCTCTTTATCCTCCTCCTCCTCGAGCTCTAGGGTTTTTTTCAGCGGATTAGCTTCAGTATCCATTGGCCCCAGGTGCGATTCGTTCTCTTCTTTTATATTCTCTTGGATCATAATTTCAGAGATGGGTTTCTTTGCTTGTTCTCGATTTGTTGCATTGATCGGTGATATAGAACATATATGATAAATTTTGCAATAAAGTTACTTTCTTGTATACCTTTTAGCTTCCGGTGTTGTCTTTTTTTTTGATCAATGCTAGATGATTTACTAAGTGTTTTGTCTATGTTGAGATTTAAGTGTCAGTTTTTTGGTTGATTATTGAAATGATTTTGATCCACAGTGCTCTGATTTGGAGGTTGCATTTGAGTGAAAAGAAGATGTTTTCGTTTCAGCATAAGATTCACAAAGAGAAGGGTGTGGAACTTTCTGAATTGGATGAGCAAGTTGCTCAGGTTTGATCTTTATTTAGGTTTTACTTAGAATTGGTTTAAAGTCTTAGACTTTCTGATATCTCTGTTTGATTTGTTAGGCTTTCTTTGATTTGGAGAACACCAATCAAGAATTGAAAAGTGAGTTGAAGGATTTGTACGTCAACTCGGCTGTGTGAGTGAAGTATTTTGTTTATGATTTAGATTGTTTTTTGTCTACATTGTGTTGTTGTCACCCCTAGGAGAAAGAAAACAACTGAGAAAATTTAATCTCTTTTCTTATTGTAGTCAAGTTGATATCTCTGGAGGTCGCAAGGCAATTGTTATCAATGTTCCTTACAGATTGAGAAAAGCTTACCGCAAAATCCATGTTAGGCTTGTTCGTGAACTTGAGAAGAAGTTCAGCGGAAAGGTGATTTTTTCACCTTCTCTTGTTCTTATGAGTGATCTGTTAAGTTACTCGATTTGCATTTGTTTGATTGAATGATTGATGCCACTTTAGTTGTCTTAAGTATGGAGTTATGTTCTCTTGGGTTATATTGAGGAACGAAGCTTTCTATGTTTCAATTACTGGTTTTAGAGTCACTGCGTAACTGGTTAGCTTCTTGATGTTATCTTCCCTGTGCTTAGGATGTGATCCTCATTGCTACAAGGAGGATTGTGAGGCCACCTAAGAAGGGTTCAGCTGCAAAGAGACCACGCAACCGTACTCTAACCTCAGTCCATGAAGCCATTCTTGATGATGTTGTCTTACCTGCAGAGATTGTTGGGAAGCGCACAAGGTACAGACTCGACGGCACCAAAATCATGAAGGTAAGTAAAATCTGAAGATCATTACCATCCAGGAAGATGTTATTTCTGTTGATCTGATAAACGCAATTTGTGTGTTTAAAGGTCTTCTTGGACCCAAAGGAAAGGAACAACACAGAGTACAAGGTTGAGGCTTTCTCTGCTGTTTACAAGAAGCTCACTGGCAAAGATGTCGTCTTTGAGTTTCCCATCACTGAAGCCTAAGAGATGAATTGAGACGTAGAGATTCTGTTGTGATCTCTGATATTTAAGTCTTCTTTTTCGTTTACTTTTATTGTGTCAAGACGACATCGGTTTGATCTTAAAATCTGTACAATCGTCGAATTTTCTCGATAGTTTTGAGAAACTTTTTAATGTTCGTTTTCTTAAGTTTTGCGATAGAAGTTATAATTAATGAATGTCTTCGGTGGTTGATACCGTCTAGCATCTGCTAAATGCTTTTGCATTGTTATGCATATTTTTGTAGACTGGACGGAGTTTTGTAGAATCATCAGTAACTTTCAATGCACAAAGAAACTTTGACTTGAAAAACAACAACTGAAAACACCTAAAGACACACAAGAGACGCGAGATAGAGATTTGTACCCAATTACAAACTAAACCACAAGTAAGTTTGATAAATCAAAGTCCTTGAAGATCAACGTACAGTGACGTGATACAGTTCTTGAGATGTTCACCAGGACGGGTGAATTCATCATCCTTTTCATAACTAACATTCGCTGCGCGTAAAGTGTCGATAATGAATATCTTAAGATAATAAATTGTCTTCAAAAACTCCTCATTCATCATCTTATCAAGGTCTGCAACCATTTGATGAAGCTTTCTAAAAGCCTCTTCTTCTGTAACTCCATATTGTTTATTATAACAGTTGATCGAGTTCGTGACATATTCTCGGCTCATGTCATCCTAATCATGTCACATGTTAAGTTTGATTATCAAAGAACAAAATATGGTTATCGAAAACAATAACTAAAAAAGGGAAAATCTTCCCTACCTCGAAGCCAAGTATATCATTCAACACTCGTGCTTTTGCGGTCAATGCTCTAACGAGTTTGTCTCTAGATTTCAACCACTCATAAGCTTCTTTCTTGCAGATATTTTCCATACCCATCAAAATACATGCCAGGGTAAAATATAGAGCGATCTCGACACCAGAAACATCTAGGTACTCATCAAAGCTAGGCAAGTGACCCGTTACTGCCCATTTGGCCAGTTGAAGATTGCTTCTCATCATTCTCTTGCACTGCAATAATTGGCTCAAAAGTGTTAACATTTACTATGTTCGTAAAAAATCATTTAGATTGGTTATTCTAGTTCTCCAAACATTTATTACATATATAAGAAAAAGTTAATGAATAATTGTTTTGCTTACCTCCTCAATTGTAGCTTTCAAGCTGTAAGATCCTTCCTATTCTGACCCCACTTCTCTTTCAAACTCTTGGAAGGTATCAAATATAAATTTCACTACAGATTTTAAATAATCTGGTAGTTCATCTATGCCATGATCATCGGGATCCCACCTACATTATCAATATGTATAGTCATCATCAATTTTCTATTTTGTTTTTTTTTTTTTTTTTAAAGGTAAAATACCATATTTTTGTTAAGAAAAATTAAAAAATAATATAATGTTTGTATTATATATATATTAATTCTTTTCATGAAACAAGACATACATGTCTCTACTAATATATTATATATGACGTAGTTAGTAAATCGACACTTAAAATTGCTAATCAAATATGAGGGTTATATGACCAATTGAAAAGTACCCTATTAATTAAAAAAAAGTTTATCTAAACAAAGTAGTATATGGGGATGTGCCTTTAGTCAAGTGGTTTAGTCCATTTGACTCCGCCTTTTCCACGGGAGTTCGACTCCAGTAAGTCACGTTACCCCGCGTAGTAGGGATTGGCTATGGATCGCGGGCCTTGTCGATCTAAAGATGTCAAAAAAAAAAAAAAAGAAGTGTATTTCCTCATTTTAAAGATCCAAACTAATTTCAAATTTAAAATTTTCGTTTCTTCCAGTTATCCTTTTTTAGCATTATGTTTTAAAAATGATACTAAGAGTTATTAATTAACTTCCAATTCTAACTTTTTTTAAATTTGAAATTTCAAATTGGTTGCTCAACAAAAAAGAATATGTACAGGCAAAAGATGTAAAAACAGTAGCCCACAAAAATATAATCGACTTCGGGTACAAGATGAGATTATGGGCGAAAGTCCGGAATTCCCGTGAGTTATCAAAAAATAAATTAAAATAATAATACATAAAAATACTTAGATAGTGATTGTTACCTTTCGATTGTATCTGCGAGGCTTTCAACCTCACCAAGAGAAGCATATCTGTCACACGTATCATCTACAATGATTTGAATCGTATAAATCTTAGTCAGAAAGATCCTCACACGTGAGTATTTTGGTTCGAAGTATGTTAGTGTAACGAGGTGCATTTCCACGATTCTGTCTCTGAAGTAAGGTGGCAACTTAGATTCAAAGTCTTGTTCCATGTACCATCTTGCATCCAAACGTTAAAATTGTGTCAAACTTAGGTAGTTATAATAAATATATACTAGTAAAATTATTGTGGAGATTATAGTTACATACTTTGAAAGGGTTTCGAGTTCTTGAAGGTAATGATGCTGTAGGAATTTGAAATTAAGCTTGGCAAACTTGAGTAGCGTCTTGTCGCAATCTTCTTCTTATTCGTAGAACCGGATATATTCCTTTGCGACTAATATCTCCATGTTTTTATGCTGCGGTTGATCCAAAGCTTTTCGTATACGTCTTGAGAGGTTAAGTTTGCATGTCCCACTTGCAGCTAGCGACTCCAAGTTACTCAATGTGAAGCTCAAGGCTTCATCCAATATATAATCTGTTGTCGTCCCCATGTGAGCAGCTTCATACAAGCTCAGGATACCCTTAGCATCTTTAGCAAGACATTCCTTAAATTTTCCATTGTCTCCTTTGAATCTCCTAAAAACCTCTATTGACCAAAATTGAATAACCTTTGTTATATATACCAATCAAATTATAGCATACACTTGTACGTAGGAACTTCGATCTTCATCACAAGAAGGATGGTCTCATTATCCCGACTTTTTTTATTTAACATATTTTTGATGTGGTAATGTTTTTTTTTTCCGAAGAATAAGGACCTAATATATAGAAATATTCAAAACTTTACCATAGTAATTTTTTAATTGAGGTTTGTTTTCTTCCTTTTGTTTTGTTATGATTTAATAACTGATTTATTTTGTTTTTATTGTGTATATATACTAGATTTGAACCCGCGGTACACCGCGGAGCTATATTTTTTTTTTAAAATTAAAATATAAATTATTTTGTTTATTAATAGAGAAAAATATATTTATTTATATATTTTAAATGTACCATTCATATATCTATATCTATATTTTTTTTTAGGTTTACGGTTGAAAAATATAGGAACGGTAACATATAATTCCGTAAGTAACGATTGATTTGTTAGAGAATTTTTTTTTTGTTTTCTTAATTTAGAAATTATAGTTTCTAATTAAATATATTAAATTTTGTAATATAAGTTAAGTATTATTATGTTTGATCATTTTGTTTGTTTCTAAAATAAATAATGTATCACTTTAGAATATATATAGTTGTGTTGTGCATTGAAAATATGAGTGGGAACAATTATGAATTTCATACCAAATATAGTTTTAAGTTAATTTTGTTATAAACTTTGATTATTAAATTGAACCAATTCTAATATAATTTTTACGAATTAAAAAAAAATGTATGTTGGTCTTTAAAAAAATAACTATCCTATAGACACATTTGGTAATTATATTGTTGTGTAAAAAAAGAAAGTGAGTAGATAATTTATTTTTTTTTAATTTTTTTTTTTCATCAGTGAGTAGATAATTAAGTGTAGTTTGTTGTCGGCACCAATTTTCACTCTTCTTCGATAACCTAAGATTTTCTTTCTCTATGCACAAAATCGTTGTCATAAGGAGCTGAAAGTTCAATCGATTGCTTCATCTGCTCCAAAGAATAGATCAATGTTACACTGTTGTTTGCTACGAATTCCACCGTTTCAACATCAGGGCTCATGAGAACTAAATCGTATACTTCGTTTCCTTTTCTCTTTTTAATCGACGAATCCATCTGGTTTTATTCCTGAATCTTGTAATTTTATTCTCGATTAGAGCTGTGAATAGAAGATTTCATCACAAATCGTCCATAACCCCAAATCCAAACGATTCTATGTATGGATCTAAGGTAAAATCTGCAAATCTATCTTATTTACTTTTTAAATCGATCCCAATAGAGAACAGATATGTTCATTTATACTTTTCGTTTCCGTTTCTCTATCTACGAATCCCTTAATCGATTAGCTAAGTTAAGGGATAATTTATGATTAACATGTTTATAACTTTTCATTGATGATGTAGTTCGATATACGTTTTCCTGCTCTAGCATGTTCGATTCTTAGTGTTGATGCTATGGATATTAGTGGAGAACTGCTTTGCGACGTGGTATGTTTGAAATTGTTCACTGTCTTACTCCAGTGACAATTTTTGTGTTTGAAACATGTTTAAGCTTGTGCAATGTGTGAATTACAGAAACATGATATTATAAAGAGAAGATTAGATTCAAATGGCAACACTTTAAGAGGCAAGACATGACGTAATAGGCGCTACTAAGGTTTGTTCTCTGTCTTTCTGGACTGGATAATCTGTGATTTTTAAAATGGAAGATTGAAACTATTTCGGTATGCTTTTCATTCTATTCTTTAGGATTAAGTGAAAGGTCAGATTCAGTTAGAGTATTGTTTGCATTTTCTGATCTTAGAAGTGTTCGGTTTCATTGTCCATGGCTTGTTTGTTATTATGTTAATTTGATGATTTTTTTTAAAATCTCTTCAAATTAAGTCTCTGAAGTTGGGACAGAAGAACTGAGTCTCTGCAAAACTGAGTCTTAACAATTACATCGTACGAATTAACTATTTGTGTATCTAAAACTGTCTTTTATGAAAATATCATCCCTAACTATTATAATAGAAAGTATAAATATAAGTATTCTCAGTTATACAATATTCTATCTAATTGTGCAGATGTTGTTTAGAAAAAGTTTTCCACGTCATTGCAATATTTATCCATGTTATATGTTGCTAATTGCTAATAATTTTATGCAGACCAAAACTGCAGTTTAAGAATTAGCAAGGATGGTTCTTTCCAGGTGCGTATTTACTCTACCAGTAAAACTATTTTATGAAATAAACTTAGCATTGAAGTGACATAGGGAAGAAACTGTAAAAGAATGTTGTAGATAAAAATTGAAACCTGAGTCATAACCTCTTCATTTGAAAGTAATAATCACTGTTTGAGTAAAATAGCAACGTAATATGATGCTAATTGTCTTTTCTCTGATATTGTTGTGTCCTTCTCTTCATCTTGATTGAATTGATTGGTAACGTGTGATCTCCATGAACAAAAAAAAAAAAACATATTAGTTAGTAATTGTCTGTATTCGAATATATAGATTGAAATTGGTAAGACATAAAAGTAAAGTTGTGTATTAGTAGGGAATAAGTGAAGTCTTTCTTTACTGTTGCATGCATTTTTTTCCCCTGCAAATAATAATAGGTAAAGTTGTGTATTAGTAGGGAATAAGTGAAGTGTTTTGAACATAATTATAAAATAGAGATTAATATGACTAACACCTGTTCATCAGAGATGATAATCTCTAGTGTTTCACCAGTACTCTGCATATACTGGCGCCAGGAGTGCAAGATTTTGACTTGGACCCTCCAAGAAGTCTTGTAGGGACGCACGTCGTTGAGGAAAGCAAAAGTGCAAGCCATTTCGTTTAGGTAAAAGTTTTCAATATCGGGTTTTAGAGCTTTTTAGGTTTGTGAGAGATATTGGAGCTTAGGAGTAGAGTTTATATAGGGAAAAGAATTAGGTTACATGAACCAAAACGTGTGGAATAATATCTTTCAATATAATAGGTTTGTTAGGAATATACCATCTTTATGCTTATAGAATAACGAAATTGATTAATTTTCTAGATTTGTAGGTTGATATTGGAATGAGGATTTCGTGGGATTGAATTAATTAGTTTGTTAAGAGAAGAAAGTTAGGAGATATGGAATTGTGATTAGGAAATTAGTTTTGTTAGGTTGTTAAGAATAGAATTTTAGGAGAAACAAAATTACTAAAAGTGAGAATTCGAAATTTTTTGCTAATAAAATGTAGATTAGTGTAAGGAAGTTTATTAATATATGAATCTCATTTATTATTGCAGGAGATACAATCGGAAATATGAGACTGAAAGAATGGTGAATTGGTTTTGGAATATAACGTGAAGAATATATAAATTGATGATCGAATTAAGTTTGAGATATTTTAGGAAGATTTGAATCCAATATGTCGTTTAAGTATAGTAACTAATTCTGTAGTTAAATATTTGGAGATTGGTAAGTTTAGATTTTATATGTTGATTTAAGATTATTTAATTAATGTGGTTTTGCCAAATAAATAAAAAAAGGTAACGTGATTAAGATGGGCCTAATATTGGGCCTGGTCGTTTCTTTGTTTCACTAAATATTCGACGCAGAGTTTTTCGGAAGTATCCGATTTCTGATTCCTGGTCAAACGTAATTAAAACAACCCGACCCAACCAATGGCATTCTTTGTAAATACTTAGCAACTCCAGTATTTATTTGCTAAGTATTAGATTTTACCCCGCGGTACACCGCGGGTCAATTTTTTTATAACTAAAAATTATTTAGCAAAATTTTAAATTGTATTTGTTTTGTTAATATTGTTTATTTTGTTTAGTGTTTCTGATTTTATAATTAAATTTTGATTTTAAATTCTAAGATTTCATCCATAGTATATTGTTTAATATTAATATCGATCTAAACCCGTTGCACCATATAACCCCGTCCCGTAAAATTAAACATCATTTTTTATTTTTTTGAATAATATTTTTATCCACTACGGGTCGCAGGTTCATGCGGATAAGCCCGTGGAGAGTTGCGGGTTTGCGTGTCGACCCGCCAAAAGAGAAGCTATCTTTTGAAACCTTTTGTTTTATTTAGAGGTTTTGAGAAAGTATCCCTAAAAAATAATTTTCATTATATGAAAAAAAAAAAGTAGAAGAAATTATAATATCAACATTCCCGATTTTTACATCACTCGTTACTATTAATTTTTTTCTTTTTTGCAGATAAAAATCAGAAGTTAACTAAGTCGAGATTTTTAAAAAGATTGTGTAGAGATTTTTGGTAAATTGTTGAGAACATATTTGATTTCAAAATCTTTACTTAAATAGATAAGGAAAGATTTTGTACAGACTTTTGCTAAATATATGAGAAATGAATTTCATTTAACAATCTTTACTTAAATAAAACAAATCTAAATAATTAATGCTAATGGCATGCCATTGTAAATACTTCTCAACTTCAGGATTTATTTGCTAATTGTGATCCAAAAATGTATATATAGATTCTTGATTGCCATTGTATACTAGTTGCAAAGGCCAAACGACGACGGTCTAATCACAACCTAGCTAGAGAATTAATCCTTACCAGAAGAAATGTTGTGACCATATGTCCTGAAAACCCAGAAGATGATGGAAACTGTGTACAAATCATCTTCACCAGCCATAATCTCCTCTATCTCTCGAAGACCATCTTTTAGACTCTCCTCGATCTCATCCTCGAAATGAAACGCGAGACCAAGACTCACAAGCAAATAGATAAATAGGATTTTCTTCTTGCTCGACTTATTAATGCCTTTGGAAGACATCAACATGTCCCTCATTTGCGGCTTTAGTGCCTCTATCTCTCTCCCAAGCACATCCATTTCCTTAATAAATATAGTAATATATATAAACATGCATGACGACTCATATGTAGAAAAAGACAGAAAGAGAGAAACTTACTGAGAAATCAACATGAGCAGAGAGGAATCGATGACCCCATTCAGAAGGGGCCATCTCTTTGTACTTGCGATTATTTTCTTCATCGTCACAATAAGCCAGAGAAGTAATAGTAGTGGCCTTCAAAGGAACAATATGTGCATGCTTGCCGGGAAATGACGTCAGCGGAAAGCGAGACACTTTGCATGCCGGTAATGTTTTGGTTTCAGAACGAATAGAGAGTTTAGATCTAAAAATTGTTATGGCTTCCATTTTCACCACTAATGATATGGGAAATCTAAGTTTCACCATCAAATTTATAGGCACAATGCTTTTGTCACATGAAAGCAATAACTTCATAGAGTGGCAATTTGTTTAATTTACTTCTCCTTTAGATGTGCAAATTTGTTTCTCATCTGATTTATTTAAATAAAATAATAGTTTTCTTTATTTTTTCTTCTTCTTGATTTTGTTTATCCATCTGATTTGTTTCTCCATCTTTTAGAACATCTCCATCAATGGTGTCTCATTGAGACACTCTATCTTAAAAAAATATAAAAAAATTAAAAAGTAAGAAAGAGAAAAGAGAGAATGTCTCAAAATGTCTCATTTGAAAAACTCTGAGAAACCCACTAAACCACTTGCTTTTCATCTATTGGTTCAATATTATATTTATGATTAAAAAATAATTATATAACTGAAATTTATTAAAATACTAATTTTTTTTTGTTTGAGAAACTTTGGAGATGGTCTTAGATACTGTGTGGATGTCTCAAAAATATTATTTTAATTATTTTATGATAAATAAGTTATTTATTTAAATTATAAATTATAAAGAGAGAATTTGGCCAATAATATAAAGACAAGTGTAGACACAGTTTTTCAAAGTTTCTCAAACCAGAAACGTGTCTACTTTTTTTCCTACTTTTTTATTACTTTTTATTTTTTTAATCTTCAGACACTTTTTAAGACACTACCGTTGGAGATGCTCTAAGAGACTTTTCATATGTTTAAGGAGAAGAAACTGGATACGTTGCACATAATTCAACCAAGTACATAAATATATATACCAAATTTATGTAAGAAAACCAATGCTGTGCTTGTGTAAAATTATTAATAATCACTCTAAAGCCTCTTTAATCTTGGTTGTAAAAACCTATTTTTTTAAATATAATTTAATATTAGATTGAAAAAAAAAATTCACTCAAAGCTAGCTGTGAATTATGATCACCAACATTTTTATACAGTACGTGTAAGGGAAACTCACTGTATATTACATGTATTTTTATTTTATTTTTTGATAGTAAGATAGTTTGGTTCTTGATCAAAGATATGTGAGATCTTTTCTTCCCATTTGCAATAATGAAGATTATTTTATATTTTTATTTGATTAGACTTTTTTTTTTTAGTAAACTACAGAAAATATCAGATTGACTAAAATCAATACTAACCGAAATAGTGTTAATCAGTTTTGTTGAGTCATATGTAATGTGTCTAGTTTCTGCTAAGTCAGAAGACAAGTAATTAAAAAAAAACTGTTATCGCAAATTGATAAATTAGCTTCTATTTTTATATTTTTACCGCAAAATTGGAAAAAAATGATATCTACTAAAATTTTTGTCTATATATACCTTTTTGGTGAAATTGTCACTTTGGACCAAACTACCCCTACACCCTATTTTAAGCATTTTTAAAAATAATTAATCACAAGAATAGGTAGATATACAAAAGTAGAGATGATTTGAAGTGAAAATTTTTAGATTTGATTGGAAAAAAAATTGATTTTTTGATAGATAAAGTTTTTTCTAATTTTGTTAGAACATGTTTTCTAGAGTTCTGCGAAAGTCAGAGTGTGTATTCTACATTTTTATACATGTTCTACAAATTTTAGACTAGTTTTCTGTTCTAAAAATTTTAGAAGTTCGAAAATCATATATCTAAAATATTTAGAACATGCATTCTACGCTCTACTCTATGTTCTAAATCTTTTTGAATACATATTCTACTAATTACTACATCTTCTGCCATCATTAGAATTTGTAATCTTCTTTTAGAATGTAAATTCTACTATATTGTAGATTTGGTTTTCTGAAAATTTTAGAATTTTCTAAATATAGATAGTAAATTTTCAGAAAAGGAAAGTAAATATTTATTATAGATTACGTTTTAAATGGATATTAATTGTTTAGATTATGATCTACATAATTCAGAAATCGTTATCTATATTTTTTAGAAAAAGTTAAAACCAAAACGTTTCTAAACCCTAAGCTAAGCCATCACTTTCGATTTCAAAATGTATGTAATTAACCAACTAGCCCAAAACAACTTAAACTGTGTTACAACATTTTCAATACAGTTAATTCCACATATTATCTCCTAAATAATGAAATCTTACAACTTACAATCCAACATAAATAGAAAAAAGAGAGGTTCAATTAACACTAAAAATGGAAAATATTATATCAAGAAGGACGATCTACCTAATTTACGATTGTTGTTACTTGTTACTGACTTACTGTACCTAGTATTGTCAAATCTTGGAACCGTTCTTGTTCTTGAAGCATTAGGATTAGCTCTAACATGACCCACCATTGAAACCGGAAGTGCTTCTTCTTCATAAGCTCTCCTCTCCATCTCCTCTCTCATAGTTTTCTTCTTCCCTTTCACTACCATCGCCACCACCAATAACCGTAACAGAAACGCTCCAATCATTGACCCAATCACACTCCCAACCGCCAATTTCCCTCCGCCACCGTCATTCACCGCCGGAGATGACGGCGGCGTTACCAACGTACTACCACGACCACTACTATCATGAGCTCTAATCACCAGCACATAATGCCCTTGTCTTGTTCCCAAGAAAACGGAGGCTGAAACTTGCTCCCTAAACGTTATGTTACCGTTACTTGTGAAGCAAGCACACAAGAGAGATGAGTTCTTCTTCGTGTTAGGTTTAGGGCTCCCACTTGCCACGCTACTCAAGAACTTGATCAAAATAGAGTTTTGTTCCGTGCCTATTATGTTAATCTCATAAGGATTCACAGCCACACCATACGGGTTTGAATTGTAAGCCAATAAACCAAGAACCGGAGACACGAGCCCGTAATTATAACCGGTTTTGACTTTTTAGATTTCTATTTAATTTTTGTAAATAAATTAGGAAGTTTTATTTTTTAAATCAATTTTGAATTAATTTGAGAGAAAATGAGGGTAAAGTTGGGTTTTGATTTTTTTAAAAACCTATTTGACTAATCTACCAAAATAAAATATATTTAGACAAAAAATTTAGTAGATATCTTATATATCCAATTTTCCCAATACAAAAAGTAAGTTTGTAGACTGCGGCTGAATGTTAAATAACAAAAATAGGTTGAATAGAAAAAAAGAAAAGAAGATAAGATCCAATAATGTTTTTTTTCTTCTTTTTTTTTACATAGTGTAGTGATGGCAATTTTGTTTTTTTTTTTGGCAGCACATATTGATGACAATTAAATGTGTTGGCCGACCAAAAAAAATTATGACTGATGGAATCATGATTTCTTCCGACCGACAGGAGAGCAATCGGTTAAGGTGACTTAAAAAATTAGACTTTGGCATTCGAGTTTCCGATCGGATTCGGTTTCGATTTTTCTGATTATCAAATAAGAGAGTTTAATATCCGTTCGATTTTTATAACTATTCAGTTTAGTTTTGGGTCGGATAAATATCAGGTTTGCAACTGTTTCGGTTCGGTTTTCAAAATTAACAAAAATAACAATTTGTTTATTTTTAGTAAAAATTGGTTAAGTTTTGAAACAGAAAACATAATGTTAAAAAATATAACTAAAGATTTTTCAATATTAGATTATTTCGGATATCTAAGTTCGTCCGATCCGATAGACGGGTTTTAACTTTTAAAAATAAAATAAAATTTAATATTTTTTAATTTTTAAGTGTGTTATAGTAGCAAGTGAGAAACGAAGGTAAAAACACTATTGTTACTTAATTACAACGGACCTAATACTAGATGGTTTGTTCAGTGTAAATTATTTCCGTAAATAGCTATTTATCTAGTTGAATCTCTTCTTTTGATCCACTGCTTGTTTTTTCTCGATCTTTATTGTAGTTATGTTTACTCTTTCTGTGATGTATTTAGTAGAAACTTTATGGCCGAAGACCTATTTTACATTGATGTGAGCTTTGTATTTTCTTAGGAATAAGAGATTGTGAGGCACCGTAACGATTATCAAGAATTGTGTTGTCTTTCATTATATCGCCTAAGGAAAGTAATGTTTCATTATCATTATATCACATGAGTCTTCTATAAATAAGTCAATTCTTCAAAGTTTTTGTAAAATATCTCTATAAATAAGCCAATTCTTCAAAGTTTTTGTTATATAAACAAGCTGATCCAGAATCTGCATCTTCAACCTCCCCTTTTTGACTTCATTTAATTTGATACTAAAGCATCCTTCTGGTTCCACCTGAAAAAATACTAAACAAACCATTACAACAAAAACAGAACAAGCAATATCTAGACAAGGATAAAGTCCAACATCTATCATAATCAAATTAAAAACTTGTTCAAACCAGAATCGTGTTAAGAACGTAAACATCACTAGCAGCGGAAACCAAGTTCTTAACTGTTCTCACCACACATATGGATTCTCTTCACTAACATCAGGTAGTGAAACCAGTTCTAAATTTAAAACAAACTAAATTCAAACATGTCAAATCTCCTCTATAAATAGTGAACTCCCCCATAATCAAGAACTCTCTCTAATCAATATTTCAAGTCCTTTATATTGTGTTAATCTTTTAATGTGTCAAGACATTGATTTCTCGTCGGTGAATGTGTACAATCTTCAATTTCAAAAAAGAATTTTATTGTTTACTGCCGAGGATAAACTAATTCATAAAGTTACTTATATATTTAAAAACATTATTGCATGATGAAAAATATAATGAAACTTTTGAATAATTATAAAGTTATTTGCAGTCCATATATTTTTATTCCACCTACAAACGTAACTTTAATACTTTATATAGAAAAAGAACACCATATATATAGTACAAGCTTGAGCCTTTCTCTGTAGGTTACAAGAAGCTGACAAGCAAATATGACGTCTTTAAGGTTCCCATCATTGAAGCCTAAGAGATGAATTTAAACTTAAGAGAATCTATTGTGATCTCAGATATTTAAGTTCTCTTTTTTCCTTTTCTTTTTTTCCTTTTTTGTCAAAAAAATTGATTTTAGTTGTGAAAATGTGTACAATCTGTTTTTTGTAACTAATTTTGTTTTGCGGTCCAAACTGTCTAGTATCTGATTAATGCTATTGCACTCTCTAGCATCTTATTGGAGACTTTTATTTTTAAAACAATAGACAGAATGAAGTTTTCTAGGAGCATCACTTCAATAGTTCTTGCCCGCTGTGATTTCAAAAATGTAATTCTTTAGGGAACGGGTTATCGTCGTCGTGGTCCTCTTGATCGAACATAGGGTTCATACTGGTAATAATGGCGACAAGTTTTATTTGGTTCCGCAACATTATTTCGCCACTCGTGAATAGACTTATGAATTATTTGCTTACATATTTTTTTGCACTGCAAGCAATTTTCAGCTAAGTTTGGCCCATTCATTGGTTCGAGCTGCGTTTCCTTCATTGTTTTTTGGAGGCATAACTTAAGTCGGGATTGACCGTGAACCATATGAGCAAAATGTTTGATACCAAAAATGATGGAACGATAATGCTAGTGTGTAAGGTTGATCAAAATCCTAGAAACTTGTTAGCAAAGCCTTCATAAACCAGTAGAATTCTTGAAAAATGATCAGAATAATGGGAAACAAGAGTTTTCCTCTTTTTTTTTTTTTGGTTTATAAATTCAAGCTCAAATCAAAGTATGAATCGATTCGATCCCTCAATATGGAAGATATATAAATTTATAAAGACAACTTAAACCCTACTACGAAAAGAAAAGCAATACAAAACCAAAACCTTGAAAAAGGAAAGCAACTCAAAGCAAACAAGAAGTAAATGATACACTTAATTAAGTCCTCAAATATCAACGTACATAGACGTGATGTAGTTCTTGAGATTGCCATCGAGACGGGTAAATCCATCTTCATTGTCGTAGCAAATATTAACCGCACGTAACGTGTCGAGGACTGCTTTTAGAACCTGATGTGGCACATTGATTGGCTTCAAAAACTCCTCATTCATCATCTTATCACCTTCCGCAACTATTTGATGAAGCTTTCTAAAGGCTTCTTCTTCGGTAACTCCATATTGCTTCTTATAACAGTTAATCGAGTTCGTGACATATCCTCTCCTCATGTCATCCTAATCATCTCACATGTTAAGTTTGTTTATCAAATAACAACATATATATATGATTATCGAAAAACTAAATAAAAGTAGGAATACATTTTCCCTACCTTATAGCCAAACAAATCATTCACCAGTCTTGCTTTTGTAGACATTGCTCTAACGAGTTTGTCTCTAAATATCAACCACTCATAAGCTTCTTTCTTGTTGATATTGTCCATACCCAACAAAATACCTGCCAAGGTAAAATCTATGGCTATCTCGACTCCAGCAACATCTAGGTACTCATCAAAGCCAGGCAAGTGACCCGTTACTGCCCATTTGGCCAGTTGAAGATTGCTTCTCATCATTCTCTTGCACTGCAATGGCGCAAAAGTGTGAACATTACTAGTACAATTACTATTATTTAAGATATTGAATAATTTGACGGCTCACGTCTTCAATTGTAGCTTTCAAGCTGTAAGATCCTCCTGATTCTGACCCCACTTCTCTTTCAAACTCTTGGAAGGTATTAAATATAAATTTAGCCACAGATTTTAAATAATCTGGTAGTCCATCCATGGCATGATCATTGGGATCCCATCTACATTATCAATATGTATATCTATCATCAATTTTTTTTCTGGGATTTTATGTAAATTTAGGCTCTAATGTTGCCTCTTTTTTTAAACGAGGACTTGAGATACTTTGATAAGGTAGGGTACCTTTCGATGGTTGGCGAAGAGAAGCATATCTGTCACATGTATCATCTAGAATTATTTGAATCGTGTAAATCTTAGTCAGAAAAATTCTCACACGTGAGTATTTTGGATTGATGTATGCTAGCGTAGCGAGGTGCAGTTCCGCGATTCTGTCTCTGTAGTAAGGTGGCAACTTAGATTCAAAGTCTTGTTCCTTGTACCATCTTGCATCCAAACGTTAAAAATATGTCAAGCTCCAAAAGGTGGATATATCAAATATGCATGTATATTATTGCATGAGGAGATTATAGTATAATTACATACTTTGAAAGGATTTTGAGTTCTTGAAGGTAATGTAGCTGTAGGAATTTGAGGTTAAGCTTGGCAAACTTGAGTAGCGTATTATCGCAATCTTCTTCTTGTTTATAGAACCGGATATATTCCTTTGCGACTAATATCTCCACGTTCTTATGCTGCGGTAGACACAATGCATTTCGTATACGCCTGAGAGATTAGGTTTGCATATCCCACTTGCTGCTAACGACTTCAAGTAACTCAATGCGAAGCTCAAGGCTTCATCCAATATATAATCGGTCGTCGTCCCCATGTGAGCAGCTTCATACAAGCTCAGGATACCCTTAGCATCGGTGGCAAGACATTCCTTAAATTTTCCGTTGTCCCCTTTGAATCTGTTAAAAACATCTATTGAACAAAATGGTAATTACCTTTTGTCATAAATACGAATAAAATTATAACAAAGACTTTGAGTGCAAACGTCGATCATGATCACAAGGACTGTCTCATGATATTTTTAGATCATATCAAAATTTTCTATTAAACGTATTTTTGATGAGTTAATTTTAAAAATATATATAAATTTGACGTACTATGATTTGTTTTCCTCCTCAAACCTAGTATAATTATATAGACATATTAAAAAGGGACTTTAATATAGAATTTAGATTTAATCACGGACCATCGTTGGAGGAAGTGAGATCACTTAAACTCACTTTTATTTTTTTTGCCAACACTCACACCACTTAAATTATATAATTTTAATATGTAAGGCTATTTCATTTGATTGTTTTAACTAAATTTGTTAAGGTTACGTCAAATATTCTTAGAGAATCTCCAAGAGATACTCTATAACTTCAAATATATAAAGTATTATGTATTCCAAAAGCAACTTCAAAATTTCTTGATTTACTAGTCATTTTTTTCTTTCTCCCTTCTGTTTTGATTAATTATATTATATATTTTATTTAATGTTCTTAAAATGTTTATTATTTTCATTCGAATTATTTTATGAGCTTTAGATATTTTGTTTTTGTAGATATTCGAAGTCCGATATCTATGAGCTATGGATCCGGAAGTATTATGATATTCGGATCCGTTCAACCTCAATCTGCTACCTACTATAGCCTAGCTAGTTTCATATACTACTAATTTATTAATAGATATAGTATGATCACAAACCTAGCTAGAAAATCCTTACCGGAAGAAATGTTGTGACCATATGTCCTGAAAACCCAGAAGATGATGGAAACTGTGTACAAATCATTTTCACCCGCCATCATCTCCTCCATCTCTTGGGAATCATCTTTGATACTCTTCTCGATCTCATCCTCGAAATGATGTGCGAGACCAAGACTCACAAGCAAATATATTAAAAGAAAATTCTTCTTGTTCGACTTCATTCCTTTGAAAGACTTGAACATGTCCCTCACTTTCGGCTTTAGTGCCTCTATCTCTCTCCCGAGCGCCTCCATTTCCTTTAAACATAAAAAAAGGTATAAACATGACTTCATATCCCCTATATAACGGCAAGAGACAGAGACTTACTGAGAGATCAACATGAGCAGAGAGGAATTGATGACCCCATTCAGAAGGACCCAACTTTTCGAATTTGCGATTATTTTCTTTATCATCACAAGCCAGAGGAATAGTAGTGGCCCTCAAAGGAATAAGATGGAGAGGCTTGCTGGAAATTTGAGTCAGCGGAAAGGGAGAGAGTTTGCATGGCGGAAATGCACTGGTCTGAGAACGAATAGAGAGTTTAGATCCAAGTTTTGGTCCAAAAACTCTTATGGCTTCCATGTTCACCACCACTGATATGGAACTTCACAGCGAAGAACGTTTTAGTTATTGTTGATTTAGTTGGTAGATCTGCAGATTTGAACATCTTTTTTTATCTGACCTTTAAGTTAAATAATAGTTGTTCATTTCGCATGGCATCTCGTCCGCATGGAGCCCTAGGAACCTTTATTATTTATTTTTTTGTATTTAGTTTTGCACAGATACTAGATTTTGCGGGTCGATTTTTTAAACTAAAAATTAAATTTTAAGTTGTATTTTTTAATAGTATTTATTTTGTTAGGTGTTTAAGATTGTATAATTGTATTTTAATTATTAATTTCAGGATTTCATCCGTGATATATATACTGTTTCATATTAATATCGATCCAAACCCGTCCCACTATATAACCCGTTCCGTAAAATTAAACATCATTTTGTTACTTTTTAAATAATATTTTATTTAATAGGCATATAATTAGAGTCAATTTAAAAGTTTGACTCTATATATATATATATTTTAAAATTTTAGTTAATACTGTAATAATTAATTCTATATAATGATTCCGAATTAATTGCGTATGACCGACGGTTAAGATTAAAGATTAAAAATCGGATTAAGATTTGAATGACACGATTAAATGTAGAGATTTTTTAGATCTTTTAAGGAAATCGAATTGAATATGGATGTAATTATTGCAAGGATTAGTTATGGTTAATATATTAGATTAAGATTTTTGGAAACGATTTTTTATGTTAATATCTTTGATTTAGTTTTGTAACTCTAAATAATTAATGTCAATGACATTTGATAGTAAATAAGTTGGAACTCCAGGATTTATTTCATAAATATCTCCAAAAATGTATATATATATATATATATATATATATATATATATAGAAAGATTTATACGTTGATTTATATTTATATGATTTAGAATCTCAATAACACATAAAATTAACCATATAGAAAAGAAATAGGTATATAATAGGTCAATTATTAAGTATCTAACTAGATCATCACCCGTACTACAGTACGGGTTGAATTTCATTTATTACAAAATTAATAAATTTTATGTTTTAGAATAAAATTGTGATATGTTATAATAGTAAATGAAAAAATAATTTTTTTGTCAGTCCCTATATATAATATTAGAATGAATATATTTTCCTTTTTCTATAATATTCAATTATGAATATTTTTTTTTCCTATATATTTTTTTGTCAGTCCCTATATATAATATTAGAATGAATATATTTTCCTTTTTCTATAATATTCAATTATGAATATTTTTTTCAAGATATGAAAACGGAAAATAAGATTAGTTTTTTTAAAAAATAATATTGTTTGAAGAATGAGTTAATTTATGTTAACAACCACAAAATGAGAGTGCATATAATTTAGTTAGATCAAAAATCAAAATATCATAAATGAATCGCATCTAAAACGTAGATTATTTTGAATTACTTAAGAAAATTAGCTATTATTTTGAATTAATTTAGGAAATTATTTTTTCAAATTCTAATTTATTGGTTGTTGAAATAGATACTTGATTGAGCTAATTACGGAATTTACCAATTATTCACATAATCAAATATGTTATGAACATATATTTGGTATATAATAATACCAAATTCAATATGTGTGTGGAGTCTATATTTTCATTTTACAATCTCTATGAAAATATTGCGACACAATCTATTATTTATTTTTTCAAAATTGCTTGCAGAATCAAATTTTCAAATATTAAGAAGTACTGTCAAACCTTATTTAACTCATCTCATCATAAAATCTTAAAATATCGTCTGTTATAAGGATCATAACTTTCTACCATATTATACATTACATTTAACTCGTCGCCTACTATAAATATTTTAAACATATCTTTTTAGAAAACAAATTAATGTATTTATAACTTTTTTTAATCTTTTTAATCTATTAATTAAATATTTATGATATTCTTTAATATATTAAATTATACTTTTTTAAAATGTTCCAAATTAAAGTCTTTAAAATTTTTTATTGTAGTATGTAAAATTATGAATTTTTTTAAAAAATGATATGAAATTAAATATAAATATTCAAATAGTTATAAGGATCATAATTCACTTCATCATATAATGTATTATATTCAACCCGCCGTCTATTATAAATATTTGTTTCAAAAAATCAAATTAGAGTATTTATACTTCATAAATTTTTGATCTATTAAGTATTGATGATATTAAAAAAAAAATGGAATATATTATTCAAATATGAATTTTGACCTGTTATATTTGTTCTTTCATACATTGAATAATTTAAATTCGTTTTAAAAAATTCAAATTTTGGTATATCCGGAAAAAATTTACTTTTTTTTTTAATCATATAGATGATATAATGATTTAGTTATTTATAAAAATAGAATCATATAAAGATGAGAGGTGAAGTATAATGATTAATAACAAATTAATATGGTAAGTTAGATATCAAATCTTATATGGTCATTTTGATTGGTCATTCTTTTTAAAGAAATTAATAATAGATTTTTGTTTTTATAATTAAATTAAATTAATTAAATTGCATAAAATAGTATTTGACTTGTTTATTCCTTAATGAGTTGAATTAATTTACTCTATAAAATTTTATTTCTAATGGCATTCTTAAGTAAATTCTTATAAATGAGAAGGTTAATTAATGATAATTGTAAATTGTACTCCCCAAATAATAGTATAGGATAGGTCAATATCCGCACAAAGTGCGGGTTTTTTCATCCATAATTTATTAGTTATAATAATTTACATCGACTGAATTAATTTGATAAATAATTGTTTTGGTTTTTTTTTCTAATAATCATTTTGATATAGTATTTCTCTAACTCTCGAGTAAATAATTCATTTTTTTGTTTATTTATTTATTCATTTTAGTTAAATTATTTAACAATTATTTATAATTACTTACCTTAAAAAATATCTTTAAAGTATTTTTAAATAAACAAAAAAGTAGTGTTGATTTAGTATCTTATATTTGCCTAGAATAAATCGTAAATTCAACTAATTTTCATTGTCACTAATCATATATATATATATATATATATATATATATTATAATATATGAAAACATGAAAATAAATAGAAATTGTAAGAAATACCCTTTCTTTGATACACATTTTCAAAAATACCCTATTTTCTAGCTAGTTTCATTTATGCACTTTTTTAATTTTTAATGACCATTTTATCTCTATTTGAAAAATAATAAAGTCAACAAAATGACAAAAATAGATTTTCCCGCCAAAAATCTTTATGACAAAAATTTTTCCGCCAAAAAAATTTCATTTATATGATTTCATTTCCAATAAAGTGCAAAATATGGTGGTGAAGTTTTGTTTGTCAATTTCTTAAAAAGATGATACTATAGTTTATTAATGAGAAATCTAACTAATGTGTCATTTACTGTTCAAAAACTTAGCAAAAATGCCACAAAACATAAATTTTTCCAAATGTGCCATAATAGTTGACAACATTTCTTATCTATCCAAATTTTTGAATGTCGTTTCGAATTCTTCTCCACCAAAAGTCTGTTGTTTCAAAGGTGAACAAAATTTTTGTCCACCAAATATATTGCCAATCAGTTGTTTCAAAGGTGGACAACATTTTTTGTCTACCAAAAATTTTCGATCCAAAGTCTTGTCCACCATTATGGCACATTTGGAAAGACAAATATTTTGTGGTAATTTCTGTAAGTTTTGATACAGTATATGACACATTAGACCAAAATCCCTATATTAATCATTATCATGTTGCAAATACTCCTTTTTATAGGATAATATAAACTATATCAAAATAAATAAATATTAATGACACTTGAATTATGACTGATTGGCTGACGAAAAAAGAAAGAAAGAATCATGAATGATTGACGGAAAAATTGGTAAAAAAACCCCCACATCTCCTAAAAATATGTAAAAAACCCTCAGCTTTTTGGGGTTTTAAACCCTCACCTTTTTATAAATGGTCAAATAAACCCTAATATTAATAAATTTAACTTAATTTTTTTAAAATCGAGTTTACGATTTTTCTCTCTAAAATTAGGGTTTTTGCGGTATGAAAATTCATTCACCATTCAGTTGAGATTAGACAAATTATTTTTGTTACCATTAGAAGTTATGTTATATAAAGTACAAAATTTATAGGATATTACATTTGATTTTTTTGTTCGAGTGTTCAGGTTTTGGATAAAAATATAGTTAAATAATGATTCATTAAATATAATTTATAATATCTTTTAATATATTGTAATATATATATATATATATATATAGAAATATTAACTGTTAGTAAATCTTTTCTAGTTTATCCAATGAAAATATTTTGATGTAGAAATTCATGTACTTTTCGTAGTATTATAAAATTTGGTTTGGTTTCACGTTAGTAAATTTGTGTGATCGAACGAATAAACTTTTATTAATATAAACTCATATTCGGTTTGATATAAAAATTTCCATATAATTCGTAACAAAATATGTTAGACTTCACGTTGATGAATTTTTTTAACACAACCGAATAAAACTTCACTAATTAACTCTTTTACATCATGACTTAAAAAAAATTCAATTTTGAAAAAGATTGTAAACTAGAATCTTAGAAGAAAAACCTAAATCAAATTATTTATATTTATTTATGTTTTAATATAACGATTTGTTTGAATTTAAATTAAGTTTATTAATACTAGAGTTTATTTTACCATTTATGAAAAGGTGAGGGGTAAAAAACCCACAAAAAAAGTTGAAGGTTTTTCATATTTTTTATAAGAAAGGTGAGGGGTTTTTATACCCATTTCAGATATCAGTTATTAAGTATCTATTTCATTTCCAATAAAAGTGCAAAATATGATGGTGATTTGAAGAGTTTTGTTTGTCAAATGTTTTCATAAAAAGATGATACTATTGTTTATTACTTCTTCTGTTTCAAAATATATGATGCTTTAGCTAAATACACATACTTTAAGAAATTTATTTTTCTTTAAAAAACTATCATTTAATATT